GCCTAATTTTTGTATTTTTAGTAGAGATGGGGTTTCACCATATTGGCTAGGCTGGTCTCGATCTCTTGACCTTGTGATCTGCCTTCCTCAGCCTCCCAAAGTGCTGGGATTACCAGAGTGCGCCACAGCGCCTGGCCCAGCTTCCATACTTCTAGCCAGTTCTCCAAAAGGTGGCGTTTGGTGTTTTGGGGGTGGGGAGGGTTCTGTTCGAGAGGCCGGCACCTGCAGCCACACTGTGATGAATGCTCCTATAAACTGTTCTCTGACGGAGAAATCTGAGGCCTGGGATAATTTCAGTGTTGGGCCCAGGTCAATAATTGCGAACACTTAACTCAGAGCCTGCGTCCATGAAGCAGTTCAAAGAGAGAAAGGAGCTGCCATTTGGCTGAACACCTACTATGTACATGATGAACCTGGTCTGATTTAATCCTTACGATAACCTCTGAAGCTAGGTGCTGCCATGCATACCCACTGTAGAGCTGGTGAAATGGCTCTGAGAGGGAATGGGATTGCCCGAGGTCGCACAGCTCGGTGGAGCGGAGATGGAACCCACATTCGCCCATTCGATCGATGTGTCCCAAGTACTCACTCTGCTAGGTAAGGTCCTCTGGCAACGTGGAGGTGAATGAGACGCACTCCTGGTCCTTGAGGTGTTCGGCTGGGGAGATAGGCCAGAGAACTCGCAAAGTGACAGTGCTGCAATGGAGCAGCTGGGGGGGGTTGAGGGAGCAGTCAGGGAAGGCTTCTTGGAGGTGGTGATCTACACCAAGAGCTACCAGCCTATGAGGTTCATGATGGCAGAGGCTGCATTTATCCTGGTCGCTGTGGTTGCACAGCATTGAGACGTTGTAGGCAACCAAAACGAATGCATTGAATCACTGAACAAGTAGGCAGTTAGTCAAGGTGAGAGGAAGTGGTTGTGGTAGACAGGATAATAGCCCCACAGATAGCCACCTTCTTGTCCCCAGGACCTGTGACGATGTTACCTTACAGGGCAAAAGGGACTTTGCAGATGAGATTAGGGGTAAGGAGTCCTGAGGTGGGGAGACTATCCTGGATTATCTGGGTGGGTCCAATCGAGCCACCGTAAAAGCAGTGAGCTCCTCCTGACCGTGCTCAGGGGGAGGTGTGACCATGGAAAGGTGACTGAGAGAGGCGACGCTGTGGCTTTGAAGATGGAAGGAGAATGCCAGGAGCCAAGGAATGCAGTAACCTCCAGGACCTGGCAGAGGCAAGAGGACAGATGCCCCCCGGAGTCTCCGGAAAGCAGCACAGCCCTGGCACCTCGACTTTAGCCCAGGAAGACCTATGACTGACTTCTGACCTCCAGAACCATCAAGTTTAAATTGGTGTTGTTTGGGCCGGGTGAAGTGGCTCACGCCTGTAATCCCAGCACTTTGGGAGCCTGAGGCGGGTGGATCATGAGGTCGGGAGATCGAGGGCATCTTGACTGACACAGTGAAACGCTGTCTCTGCTAAAAAGACAAAAAATTAGCCAGGCATGGTGGCACGTGCCTGTAGTCCCAGTTACTCGGGAGGCTGAGGCAGGAGAATTGCTTGAACCCGGGAGGCGGAGGCTACAGTGAGCCAAGATCACACTGCTGTACTCCAGCCTGGGTGGCAGAGGGAGACTCTGTTTTAACACAAATTAATACATAAAAACAAATAAGTAAATAAATCAGTGTTGTTTTAAACCTTATACGTTTGTGGAAATTTGTTACAGCAGTCATAGGAAACTAATACAGTGGAAGACAGTTCCAGGCAGAGGGAACAGCATGTGCAAAGGCCTGGAGGTAAGAACATGACCTGTGCAGCAGACTGCCAGCAGGGGGCGCCAAGGCTGGTGTGCCTACTGCTGCTTCCTGCCCTCTCTTACCAAGACACACTGGCAATGAGGTAGGTCCAGGTTCCCCAGCACCCGTAGACATCTGAAGTCTCCCTGCGGCCCTCCATGTGCACACCCAGGGGGCGTCCTCTGGAAAGCCAGCCAGGAAAGACACATTGGCAGGTCACCCTGGGAGGAGAACCTCTGCTCGTCCCTGGCCTGCCTTCTTTTCAGGGATTTTCTGAGACAACACGGGATAGGGCCCCCTGGAAAAGGGAGAAAATCTTGGCCAAGGTAAGGGATGTTTAGCTGTCAGGATGGAGCCCAGGGTTTCTGAGTTAAACCATTCTTGCATTGCTAGAAAGAAATGCCTGGCTGGGTGCGGTGGCTCACACCTGTCATCCCAGCACTTTGAGAGGCCAAGGTGAGCAGATTGCTTGAGGTCAGGAGTTTGAGACCAGCCTGGGAAACATGGCGAAATCCCGTCCGTACGAAAACATACAAAAATTAGCTGGTGTGGTGGTGCACCCCTGTAGTCCCAGCTGCTCGGGGGGCTGAGGTGGGAGGATCACCTGAGCCTGGGAGAAGGAGGTTGCAGTGAGCTGAGATGGTGCCACTGCATTCCAGCCTGGGTGAAAGATTGAGACCTTATCTGAAAAAAAAAAAAAAAAAAAAGGAAAGAAAAAAGGAAATACCTGAGACCAAGTAATTTACAAGAAAATAGTTTAATTAGCTCACAGTTATACAGGTTACATAGGAAACACAGATAGCTCCAGCATCTGCTTCGGGGGAGTCTCTGGAAGCTTCCAATCACGGTAGAAGGCCAAGCGGGAGCTTGCCCCTCCATCACCGGATGAGAACAGGAGCAAGAGGGTGAGGCTGGGGGAGGTGCTGCGCTTTACAACAACCAGATCTCAAGAGAACTCACTCGGAATCGCGAGAACAGCACCAAGCCATGAGGGATCCTCCCCTATCACCCAAACACCTCCCACCAGGCCCCACCTCCGACACTGAGGATTACAGTTCAACATGAGATTCGAGTGGGGACAAATACCCAAAATGATATCATGCTGTATTCCTGAACGCTCTCATGATCATGGCGCTATTCCTTTACATGATTCTAGCTTTGTAGCATTCTATGGTGTGCCCTGTGGCCTCCCCTGCATGAGCCTTCCCTGAGCCTGTGAGGTCTGCAGGGCCAAGTGCCATCGTGCCAGGGCACAGAGGACAATACTGTTCAGAGAGGTGAGCTGACCTGCCCGAGGGTGCCCAGCACGGTGGGCAGAGCTCAGCTGGGGGACCTGTGTCTTCTGATGGTCTTTCCTATCCCACACCACCTCTTGCCTGAAAGGGGAGTGACATGCAGTTTTTAAAAATTGTACATAACATTAAATTATCATTTTAACCATTTTATTTTATTTTAGGCAGAGTCTCGTTTTGTCACCTAGGCTGGTGTGCAGTGGCACGATCTCAGCTCACTGTAACCTCCGTCTCCCAGGCTCAAGCCATCCTCCTGCCTCAGCCTCCAGAGTAGCTGGGACTACAGGCATGTGTGCCATCATGCCTGGCTAATTTTTGTTTTTTTGTTTTTTATTTATTTTTGTTTGTTTGTTTTTGAGACGAAGTCTCACTCTGTCACCAGGCTGGAGTGCAGTGGCGTGATCTCAGCTCACTGCAACCTCCGCCTCCTGGGTTCAAGCAATCCTCCTGCCTCAGCCTCCAGAGTAGCTGGGACTACAGGCATGTGTGCCATCATGCCTGGCTAATTTTTGTTTTTTTGTTTTTTATTTATTTTTGTTTGTTTGTTTTTGAGACGAAGTCTCACTCTGTCACCAGGCTGGAGTGCAGTGGCGTGATCTCAGCTCACTGCAACCTCCGCCTCCTGGGTTCAAGCAATCCTCCTGCCTCAGCCTCCCAGGTAGCTGGGATTATAGGCGACCGCCACCACGCCCAGCTAATTTTTGGTATTTCTAGTAGAGACGGGGTTTCACTTTGTTGGCGAGGTTGGTCTCATACTTTTGACCTCGTGATCTACCTGCCTCAACCTCCCAAAGTGCTGGGATTACAGGCGTGAGCCACCGTGCCCGGCCCAGGACTTCATTCCTTTTTATGGCTGAATAATATTCTGTTGCATAGATGCAGGAATCATATTTCGTTCATTCATTCATAGCTGATGGACATTTAGATCGTGTCCACCTTTTGGGTGTTATGAATAATGCTGCTATAAACACGTGTGCTCAAATGTTGTTTGAAGACCTGTGTTTATTTCTCTTGGGTTTATATCTAGGAATGGAATTGCTGGGGCCTATGGGTAATTCTAAGTTTAACTTATTAATAAACCCGAATTAACTTTGAACTTGCCCTTGGTTACAGTTTGTGAAAATTAAGATAGAGCTGGCATTTCTGACTTGCACCTGAGTTCATTGACATGGTGGTCTCCTGGTTCTCAGGGGGACAGAAATACATGCCTAGGCTAGGCCCCCACACAGCTCTGAAGAGCTGTCATTTATTAAATGACATGTCATTTATTAAAACCTCAAGTTTATGGCACAGTCTGGGAATAACAGAGTTGCTCAGAGGAGGTGAGCATAGTCAGTGGATGTGCCTGGGTAACGTGGTGAAACCCTGTTGAAGCTGGTGAAACTCTACAAAAAATACAGAAATTAGCCGGGTGTGTTGGTGGGTGCCTGTAGTCCCAGCTACTCGAGAGGCTGAGGTGGGAAGATCATTTGAGCCTCGGAAAGCTGAGGCTGCAGTGAGCCGTAACTGTGGCCCCTGTCCTCAGCCCAGGTGACAGAGAAGTGGGTGGAGAGATGTGTTGGTGGAGGTGCTCTTGTGTGATCTTGAAGGAACAGGGTGTGATGGGACTGGGTGGCCGTCGGATGCCCTTCCTGGGTGCCTGATGGGATGGAATTCAGAGGTGAGGATGTGTTCCATGCCATGGCCCTCACCAGCATGAAGAAGGCACACAGGGGGCAGTGTGGAGGATCCAACAAACCTGCTTCAAGGCCAGCTCCTCCCTAAACCTCAGATTTTCCATCTGCAGAATGGGACTGCCCATCTGAATCTAAATGCTGAGGTTTGGCGGTCACATGCACAAACGCACAAGCGGGTCGGTGCCCATCCTCGCGAACTCCAGAAATGGCTGCTGGCATCGTTATGACGACTCTTAGGGCTGTGTGGCCTTGGAAACTCCCCCTCCCAGGTCCCGGGGCCCAAGCTGGCCCTGAGGAATCTTGCTCTCGATAAGAAAGCAGGAGGGCAGATTCCATTTAAATGATCACCCCCCAGTTTGAAACATGTTCCTTCAACAATTTCTGAACTGTTTCACAGTGTGAGTTCCCCTGAACTGCTAATATCTTCAGGGATTTAAAAAACATATTTGCAACAAAGAGGTCTTTGTCTGCCGGGCCGGGGCAGCCTGGCAGGGATGTTACCTGAAACCTGATCGTCAGACGCTGGCCACAAACCTGCCGCATTGTGTCCCAGTGGCGACAGTGGTGATGGCGGGCTGGATTAAATCGGGCCTTTTGTCGTGGCGGGAAGGGCCACCAGCCACGTGACATGGGGTGGTGGTGGGGTGGTAGGGGAGGCTTAACTCTGCAGGCCCTGAGGCCGGCAGCCCCCCTTCCCTGATATTTCCGCGTGTTGGTGATCTCATCACAGCAGGCTGTGGAGAGGGCACCAGCGCCGTCCTCAGTTTCCCCACGCAGAGCAGGGAGCAGGGGATGGACTGAGTCACATGAGTGGCACTGCTGGGATTTGAACTTGGATCTAAATGTTATCCCTGAACTCCTCTGTGGGACCAGATGCTGGGTTTTAGGTCCAATTGCTCTGCAGA